GCACTTTTAATAAGTTCTTGTTTTTTATTTCGTTTCACTGCCCAGCGTTTCTCAATTTGGTGTTAGTGTGCATACACTCTGTTGTGTTCATTTTTTCTTCTTTTCATTTTCGTTGGGGGAAGTTGTAATGATCAGCGGTATTACACGTTATGGACATGCACATGTAGAGAACACATGAGCATCGTTTTGTAAAGAGGTTGGATTTTTAAAATTATAAAAACTGTTATCAAAAGCCATCATGTTTTCGTCTCAAGAATATTACAGCCACCACACATGTAGCTATTAAAAATCTATACCATTGCCTAGCAGTTTTACACCATGTATAAATATGTACAAATTAACATCATACCTCTCCTGGAGTCTTGAGTTCTGCTGGCTTTTGCCATGTGGAAACTTTGGTGTCTGTATTCTAGAAGTATGTTCTTCCATCAGGAGCCTTGTGTTCTGTCCATGGGGTCTTCTCCTTTCACAAAGCACATACAAAACACCCAGTAATGCATATATCATACCAAATCATTCAAGAGAACTTAGTCTAATAATTTCAAATTTACAGTCTTCATAGAACAACCCTCAAATAACATGCTGGTTTATTGCATTATACTGGGAAGTCAGCAGTGGTAATTCTGTGAATTGGCTCTTTTAAACCACTGATTCCTGATGTTGGTTTTTGTGGAGGGTGGAAAACCAGAGAACTTGTAGAAAAACCCTCAGAGCAAGGACTAAACTCACATGTGACACCAGGTCCAGGAATCAAACCCATGCCACAGCATTGGGAGGCGAGGGGTCTCACCACTATGCCATCCCTGCTGTCCACTATACTTCTACTTTTAAGGTTGAGTTCATTAAGTTCATTACAAACTTTGCATTCAGTACAGCAATTTTGTGAGAGGACCCCCTTCAATGGTCCAGCTTACATGTAGCAGCACTTAACTTTTGTCATTTGTGTTAAGTAGTTTATCACATCCAAAAATAAAACACCTGCACTACCGGTAACTACAACATGTCCCTGGATTTAAAGGAGGCTTAAGACAACACTCATTCTGTGGTAGAATAACACTAAGTAAACATACATGTTCCAACTGTCAACATCAAATGCTATTGTTCAAGCCACCACACATCAACTTGAAGATATATGTCACAGTGGGTGGGACCACAAGATGGATCTCAATCCACAAAAAAGTAAGAAGAGGTCAGACTAAAACTGACAACTGAACTGCTGAAGTAGACTTTTTAAACATGAGATATACATCTATTTGAAAAAGGAGAGCTAAAAAATGTAACTTTTAGTTAACATGGATTTGTTAATCTTGACAGAGCATTTGCCAGTGAAAGTAGCCACCACCCTAAAATACATGTATCGCCTGGCTGTGGAAATAACCAACTTACACATAATATTTTTTATTTTGTACCTTTGGAGGTTTTGGTTTCTTGACCTTCTTCTTTTCTTTCTTGACCTCTTCCTTCTCATTCTGCTGTTGCTCAGGCTTCTTAGCCTGTCTTGGGCTGTCTGCAGGTTTATTTTCTTGTTCTTGGATTTGTTTGACTACTGAAGGGGAGCTGGTGCCTCCAGACTCAGCTGCCACTTGCATGGGTCTCACAACAGCAGGCACTAAGAAAATTACAGACAAACAAACATTTTAAACCATGCATACTGAGAGGCTGAAAAAAAAAAAGACCCCACTGATTACCGATAACCCTTTTACTATGGGTTTTCCCACAACCAAGTTATCCAGTGTCTTAATTAGTCAATAGAGCATTAAGCATTGACCACATTGTGACCTAGGCGACACTAGTTGGGGGAAACATGGTTATCTAAATTATTTGTGCAAGTGAGATGTGTTAATGATGATGCAAAAAACCTCCAAAACTATGTTCAAGATTGTGGTTTTTCTATAGATTAACTTCACATGGTAAACTTTAGAAGAGAACTGTGGGACAACATGGCTGGTAGTAAAGATTGGAAATCAACAAATAGGAGAGCAGATAAAACATGGTAAAAGCAGCAGGAAAACTCTAAATAGGTCAGCTCACTTAAAGGTTACTTTATGCACCTGATTCAGGTTTAAATACCGTAGTTTCTCAGTTATAAGACGCACCCCAAACTTAACAACTTAGTCAAGCCAAGTTCCCAAACTAAAAATTACTTGAAAATACTCAGTTATAAGAAGCACCAAAAGGTTGAGAGTTAACAAAAGATGTGATGGATCTGAGAAAGTTTCATGGTTGTCCTGGCAGTGAAAGCAAATGGCCAAAAACTCCCACCAAAAGTCACATTCAAAGGTGTTCGACAGCTGAATATCAACACCCCACCGCGGATGCAAAATTCAGTGCACAAAAAAGGCTAGATGAACTAAGAAGGTAGGTTTTATCTCCACATTGTTTATTCAGAGACGGAACTTTTCGAGCGAATGACACAAACATGATTCTATGAAACATGGTTCAAATGATTGTTTTGTTGTCATGGATATCATGTTACCGAGCACATGCTGTTAAGAACGTACGCAAATTTTCATTTGTTTACTTTCCTATGGAAGTTCATTAGTGTTCTAAAATTCTAAAAGCAGTATTCCTTTCTGTGGAAGTTGATTAGTGTTCTAAAAGCAGTCTTCCTTTTTAATTCATAGGAATAAAGGATTGGGTTCTATGTAATCTTTGCTACACCTCAGACTAAAAGCTCTGCTTGTGTGGGATTTGTTTAGTGGTCATTTGACGGAGGCCGTATAAGAAACAGTTCTTTCAAAACCACCACAATGGCTCTTTTTAGAGCCACCCTGGTTCTTTTCAGAACCAACAGACCTAAAAAAGTCAAAGACCAACAATTAGTGTTCTTTTCATGCCTTTGTAACTTTAAGTTCTGCTAAAATTGTGATTTTAAGATTTAGTTGCATAAAAATACTTGGCTATAAGATGCACCCAATTTCAGCACTAACATTTCACCCAAAGATAGAATTTTCTTGAAAAAAACCGTGGGCCTTATAACCGAAAAACCATGGTACATAATTATACACAGGGTTCTTGCACTTTTTCAGGAACACAATTCAGTGACTTTCAAGACTTTTTAGGTCATCTTCAAGGACCTTTTGCATAAAATAGGAGCTAATAGAAATAAAAAAAATCATTAATATTGCTCTTTATTGTTAAATTTCAATAACATGAGCGTGCATGCAGGACCAGCTGAAAAGTCCAATTGACCACTTTCAAAAATGGCTGCGGGATTAATATTCTTTTGTTTAAATTGAAATTACCCTTTCTGGTCTCCTTGAGATAATGTATTCTTTTGAATTTTGTACTGGAGAACAAGGCCAGAAAGACTAATTTAAATTTAAACAAAAGAATAGTAATCCGGCAGCCATTTATTGAAGTGGTCTATGAGTGACTTCAAGCATGCACATCACAGAGATCATGTGCTAGGTAACAATGGTTTTTTTTCAATTCACCAATCAGATACAAAATATTTAAAAATCACACATCAAACATCATCAGATGAGAGATTTGAAAGAAAACCTCATTTTCACAATTTCTGCCAGAAACTTACACTTTCAACACTGAAAACAAAAGAAAACTTCAACTTTGATTCATCTGCACTTATTGTCAAGGACTTTTAAGAATTATTCAAGGACTGAGTCTAAATTCAAGACTTTTCAAGTCCTTGANAACAAAAAATTAAATTCAAGGACTTTGAAGGCCTTTCAAAAAGCACTGGAACCCTGTATACAGTGTAATAGTAAAGATCTGACAGTTTTTTTGAGGGGAAGAATTCAAGGAGGAATCAATAATAAGTTACAGAAAAGCCAATCATTTTCTTACTAATCACTACTGGCGAACCACTATTAGGTAATGGCTGAAATGTTCCAGTCACTTGCTGTCCCATAGTCTGCTGGGCAAGTTGCTGAGGAAAAGGCATCCCTGGCATGCCACCTGGGGGATAAGCCATTGGCTGGCCAGTTGGCATGGCAACAGGCTGAAAAGGAGGCATTCCAGCAGGACCATATCCAGGTGGCATCATTGGTATTCCTGAAACCTGTCAAACGAATATAACATATTGAGTTCAAGTCTCTACATGCACATTACTGCTAAAATGTACGACTTCACCTAGAGACGTGCAAGCCAGTGATGGGGAGGAATGATTTCAGGGCTAAAAATTGTCAGTCAGCCAGTGATGAGTCAAAACTGACCATAGCCACCAAAAGTTAAGGTTTGAACGCCTAATGCAGGACTATGCTACAGAATTTTGAAAAGCTGCAATGTCGGTTTTTTTACCTGGACTCCAAGATAATTCATTTTAGTGAATTTTCAGTTCTGAAGTGGAAATCCCAAGCCATTTTAACGGTGATTTCATGAGCGACCCACATTCACAACATATAGACACCATTTTGATTTTGTGATTGCCACGTGACTCTGGACTTACCCAGAGTTCTGTAGTTGAATAAACTTGAATAAAAGGCAGGGGGTGTTTATTCATGTTTTTCATTTTAAACTAGAGGAAATCAAGAGCTACTTCATTTTGGGATGGGCCACTAAGAATTCAAGGAAACTGGCCCGACTGGCCACCATGCACTGTAGTTAATTTTTAGCCCTGTGATTTGTGCTCCAAAAGCAAGTAGTTGGACCATCATGCAGGAGATTGATTGCAAATGCATATAATAAGATTTCTCTATTATTCACTGCACACAATCATAGATATGCATGCATATGATGCAGTTTGCAAAATTGTGTCACTAACTTTCTTATTGTATACAATGCTTCTAGTTGACCAAAATCAAGCCAAATAACTTCTCCCTTAAAAAATTTGTTCCTCAGTTCGCCATTGCAAATTCTCTTATTTGTTTCAATAATTATTCCCTCCTACATTATGTGTTTTGAAAAGTCAGACTGATTCATATTAAGATTGTAACCTTGACTGGACTCAATGAAGATTAAATGTTTGCCTGATACAGTAGCAAGTTAGATTGATTTGATACATCAATTATTTGTTGCAGTATGTTCTGCATGTGTCCCGAAAACCTTAGAGTAGTTGACCTCTGGTTCCATTATACAGGCCAGCAGGCCAAGAATCGGAATCAAAACACCCAAAGTAACGAAAAAAAAAAAAAAAATTCAGAGCCTCAGAGACTGATAGACGTATTGTTTTAAAGGGAAAGTACAGTCTAAGAAAAGTTTACTTAAATCAAAAGTTCCTTTCTTGCATTGTCCTAACTGGTTATTCATCTGAGCTAAAAGCGTTTTAGTTGCGAACAATTACGTTCCAAAAAAATTGGCATTTTCAAATTGAAATCCGCCATCTTTATTATGATGTAGCAATAGTCAAGCATGCTAAATTATATCCCTGCTAGACTGGATGTAAACAAGTAAAACAGCAGCAAGGGGGGTGCCACTTATTAAATTCTCGACTTGGATTTTAATCTAGCCGAGAGGATGTAATACATCCATTTATGCTTCAAATGAAACATGGCTCGTCTTCAGGGGAAGGAGATACCTCTGTTGGGGGGAAAGAGAGAGAATGTCAGGAAAATGAATTTCAAGAAGAAACGTCTACCTGCTCAGTCACTCGCGTCTTGGAAATTGCACTTGGTTCTCTTATAGCAACAGTCAAGAGAAACCTACGGAAAATGAGAATGTTTCCTCCTAAGAATTAAATGTATTAGGACACCGACTCAATTTGAAAGGCAAAGGTTTTTTCCTCAAACAAATCCAAGCTGTGGAGTGATAGTGATTTTGCCTAGAGAAGACCGCAGTGCCCGCCACGGATTAATTTCACATTGCTTCCTTGGAATGAGAAACTATTTTGCAGTTACAGGAACCCAGCTTCAGTGTTTAACTGAACAGAAGCCATTTGGAACTAAGAACAGCCCCAGTTGGCATGCAACAAGTTAGAAATGATAGACTTGAAGAAGATCATTCTCCGTATGCATAAACACTGACAAAATTGATTAGAAACACTTAGTTGCCAAAATTAACGCAGACAAAAGGCAGAAGTTAATTGTCACAAATTAAATTTTGTTTGTTTCAGCATTTACCATTAATTTGCAATGGGGTTTTTTATCTTTGCTTAGAATTAGCTTCAATGTAGTATTTTTCATTCTAAAATGTTTGAAATGTCACGACTTGTGAGAAGTAGAGCTTTGTTATTTTTGATGCACGCTAGAAAGTTGCCCCTGTCATACAGTGTTTACATTAAAAATTACCTCAATATAACTGAAGCTAAAATGAAACTTTCGATTTCTTTTGAAAGCAAAAGTACTGCATAATTACGTCAAGTAATAAGTAATTGGTTGGAAGACAAATATTTTCATGTTCTTTTTATCGTGTCCAATTGATATGATGTGCAGGGTTCAGCAAGCTGTCATTGCAGGTTATTTTTGCCGCCTAAATTTTCTTTAATATTTCACTTTCTGGTAGCTTGTGGAGGGTTACACCTTTTCCTTTTGAATTTTAGTATGCATTTTGACATTCAACCACACGACAGTTGACCTCATTTCAACTATTACTTTAGGTGTACTAGAAATTGTTTCCACAAAAGGTCAAACAGGTCAACAAGGACAAAGCACTGAACAAAGTTTGACTATTGCTACATCACAATGACGTATATTCAAGATGGCGTTTTTCTAACCATGAAAGTTGTAAAATTGGGCAACTTTGAAGCGCTCTTGTCGCTAATGCAAAGCAAACTGGATAAAATGGCAGTTATTTTTGAGCTCCTGAGGAAAAAGTCTTCTAATTGAGATAAACTTATTCTAGACCATACTTTCCCTTTAATTAAAGTGAGACAATGTCTCTGATTGGCCTCCTAAAGTTAAATAAGGAATTGAAATGTCTACTTTAGTATGGAAACCAATTTAAAATAGACAGTAATACACAGTACAGTAACTCTGAGCTCATAACAAAAATATTCCTACTGTAATATGAGTGAAGGGGAAGCCATACAGGCGCATGGGGTGAGAAGGAAAAAAAAGTGATATGGGCGGTTACTCTCAAAGAGATTTAAATTGCTCTACACAAAAAGCTATTCAGAAAGGAAGCTATTATTTATCAGAGCTATCAAGCTCAGAACTTGGAATAATAATTTGCATTCAGAAAGGACAGAGAATTCTTTAATGCAAAACCAATCATCCCTTATAGGTAGATTTTACATAGTAGCCATTTGTGCTAAAACATCTCTTATTTCTGGAGTTTGATTGCATTCCCTATCATCAAAGTACATGAAAAGTACCCCAATTGCAGATTTTCTTGACTCTTTAGTCTGTGTTTTATTTCTTAAATTGGGATTGGCTGGACAATAGTGTGTAGGATTTGAGTCCACTGGACTTTGGATACCTGGAATTTGGTTCACCAATTCAGGGTCAGTGTCAGTCAGATTTGGGTTAAGTGGATATGGCAAGAATAGGGGTTTATTTTTCACCAGTTTCCTGTGGTGCTGAAATGGATAGGAATGACTTGGGTATCTACAAGGTATTGCTGCTCCTAAGCAAGTAAAAAGACCCCTTCTTTATTTCAAAATTTCCAGTCATACAAGAAAAGCAATTAATGGTAAAGTTTGAGAAAAATCTCTGTGCAGGTTCTTTTTCAGAGGAATGACCTTCAATGGCCAACAGGGAAGATAAAATAACAAAAGCCACTGCAAATGCTATTGCAAAGGTAATGATGAGCATTACTGAGTTAGATAAGAATTGTTTAGCAAATCTTTCTGTAGAACCCCATTATATTCTCAACTGAAGCTGTAGTCCTACTAGCAATCTATTATTTCCCCACACTACTTTTTGACGCAATACCTTTGTGAAATAAATATAGAGTTGTAAGGAAATCCTGCTGTCATTTCCTATAATTTAATTGATTAATTTTGTTTCAGTGACCCTGTAACAATAATGGTACTGTAACAGGAGCTCACACGAAAAAAACACATATAGAAGTGATAGGCTTTAACTCGTTATCTCAAGGTAAAGGTTTACCTTACATGCACTCTGAACAACTTCTGTACCAATTTACCAGCAAGGAAACAATGTCAGAAACACAATTTTTATATCATAATAAATGGCTAACAGTGAAAAGCCTACACTCCCAGACAGAATAGACCTCTTTAGATTGTGTTTTGTTTACCCAATTCAAGTCTCAAGGGAATTCCAAGCTTAGAATAAGAGATCATTTAAAGTGCCTATAACCCCCAAAATTTTTTTTTGGCCATATCAAATCTCTCTATTGCACTGAGCAAAATGGCGCAAAAATTTTTGTGTTTGGTTAAAACCGTGATTTTTTATTAATTTTTAAAGGCGTAGAAAATCACATTTTTCAAAACATGACTGAGGCACGCAATTATCAAGATGGGTCTGGGTCGAGCACAGTTTGTGACGTCATTCCAGGCTTTCCCATGAGTTTGCTTCAAGGACTGGCTGAAGTATCTTGACGGATATGCATGATAAGTGCATTGTTTTTGGGTGTAGCGACACTCCCAACAAAGAAAAAAGAATAGCACTTCATCCGATACCTTTTTATGGGGCAGATGACCCAGAGAAAAAAAAGAGAAGAAAGAAGTGGGTTGACTTTGTGCAATTGAAGCGTGGAGATTGGAAGCCCACAAAATACTCCGCCGTGTGTTACAACCACCTCTGAGAAGAAGACCATTCAGTCATGTTTTCTCCTCTGACTAGCAAGACCATGTAACAAAGGTTGCGAAAAGATGGAGTTGGAATTTGTGTCTTTCCCACTGTTCACTCGTGGAATGTTGAGGAAACGAAAACAGCTGAAAGCGAGTGAAGTAAGAGAAAGGTAAGAAAAATTTACCAGATCAGGCTTTAGCAAAGGTTTCATCTCGTTGGGAACGTATAATATTGACTGAGATTGGATCGGAGTGCCACTGCCGATGACCTGGAATGACGTCACTAGCCCCAGTCTCTGGTTCACTCTGTCGTTCCAAAAATAAACCCGACTTTGAAAATTCATAAAAAAATAGTGGTTTTAACCAAACACAAAAATTTTTGCGGTATTTTGCTCAGTGCAATAGAGAGATTTAATATGGCCAGAATTGTTTTGGGGTTATAGGCAGTTCTCTGGAATATAAATACACAAAGCATACAAAATAATGCGGTCTATTAATTACGACACTTCTCCAGTACAAAGTATATGATGTTCTTTCGCCTCTTAGCCCCCCTGTTTTATTGCCGACGTTTCTATGCCATCTTGCACACCAACATTGAGAGGGTAACAAACGGGATTAACATGGTGTCCTTGTAAATCCCTGATAAATTTTAATCAACATTTTCCGGAAACAATTTATTATATGAACTACAATTTAATAACTGCTGTAAAAGTAGATCATTCCTCAAAAAGAGGAAAGAAGTAAAAAGATATTCTTACCGGATAACCTCCAGGCATCATTACAGGCGGCGGGTTCGCAGAATAACCACCTTGTCCACTTCCTGAGGTAGGAGGGTATCCTCCAGACGCCTGGAAAGAACAAAGAGGGGTTACCTTAGGTAATTCTGCATCTTTCATGTGGTAAATATGTTTATCTTATACCCAAAACATACCATTTTCTGGCGCTTGCAATCAAAGCTATTCCAGACGGTGCCAAGCGCGTGCGCTACTGTTTCCCATGAGGCGATGTTCACCTTAGCGGTCGTGTACGTGTAATAAGGCTTCCCTTCCGCAAAGGGATCTGGGGACTACACACCTCGATGGTAAGCATCAGAAATGGCAGGTTTATCAAACTGGGGGTATTTTTCGTGATTCGCAAGCTATGTCCTCCTCCGGTTGTGGTCGAAGATTTGCTGACTACTTTGTAGTCAGCGGGATAGATCTTGTAACTGGACTAGAAGCTGATCAATTGTCAGGTTTGTGACAAATTTATACGCAGTTTAATTCGCTGTTCACGATGTGCACATACGAAAGATTTGTCTCAGACCCGTGAGGCAGATGTGATTTGCTTGTTTGACAGATCTTATTGATTGATGTGTGCCAGTACTATTGATTAGTGACCATTCAACATTCAGCAATGTTCATGACGCCTCCATGATTTTAAACTGTAATGTCATGCGATACACAGTTGTTGTTTTATTCTAGAATGTTATAATTTAATATTCTAGATCTTCGTTGTCAGCTCATACTCACTTTGAAATATATTTGTATCCCAACGTCAAGCAGCGACGGTAGTCAATAACAATAAAATCACCGGTTTCCATAGCTGTTAAATTTATACTCAAAATGACCAGTATAGATCGTAAAATTGATTACAAGTCATGTTAGTTTCCAGGGTAAATTTAATTTCGAAATTATTTTATGTACCACAGAAATAACAAGTGGTTAGGTTTACAGCTGCTGTTTATTTCCCATGGACAATTTGCACTTGAGAACAAATTTTTCCTCACAACTGCAGATGGTACAAAACTAACAGTTAGATATTTTGTGGATTCATTGCACCTGTGCAGATTTTTTCTGAACCAAAATTAGCGGTACCTCACACGTACATGTACAGCAATCTTAGTTTTGTCCTTTGTAGAAACTACTTGGTTCCTTTTGTATATCATATGTCTAGAATTTGTTTTTTAGTACATGAATTTGTCTAGGTCTAAGAAAGGCTTATGAGATATCACTAATCTTTCCAAACCTGTTGTATGAACATAATGTGCATATATTGGCTTCAGTAACTTTCTTATAAGTGTTCCTGTATTGCTTCACCGGCTTGTTATTTGGTGTACTTTGAAAAAAAGCAAGTTGTCAAGAATTCATTTTGATTCAGTTGTAATAGCCTTACAGTGTTTTTTTTTTGTTTGCTTGTTTGTTTGTTTGGTTTTTTTCTGTATATTATACTTACATGTATTTTACTTGCAATTAAGACAAAACTAGTCAGCATAATTAACATTTGTGTTGTAATTTATGGTTCAAATATGCACAGTCATACTCTAATGTGTATTGTTTCTATATTTACATTTGTGTCCTTGTACATTTTAATCTTGCAAGGCAAAGCTAGTAAATTAAAGACATCACACCATGAACGAATAATAATACATTATTTAGATATTTCAATTCCTCTTTTATTGACTTGACATTTGAGTATATGAGAACTTCTTTGCCCTAAAATCTTTTAGCTTTAGCATTTGACTGATGAGTTGCCATTCCATTTGTAACAGTAATATACATGTAAAGGGAAGTGATTTAGTCTGTGAGTTTGTTTCCCTTGGTGACAACCATTTGGTTTTAGTGCACAATGTTTCATCCTCATCAGACACAATATCATAATAATGAGACACAAAAAAGACTTGCAATGTCTTTTTAACCGGGCTTGAATTGTTTGAAGGTCAATAAAAATCAGTTCAGAGTTACTGTGCTATTGTCATGGCGATATGATTTGTTGCGATATGATTACCTTCTTGGTTGAAAAATTTTCAAACCAGTTTCATCTTTAGTTTCCCTGGTTTCAGGTTATGATAATGGATGAGAAAAAAAGTAAAATAAGAATCAAATTGATGTCAGAAGTTTACACCAAAAAAAAAACAAAGAGCAATAAACTATATTTTGTTACTTAAACCAAATTCCAGATCAAATTGATGCCAAACTACTTTGATTTATTCAAATCAAACCACGCCGTTCGTTGAATTTAACTTTACTGAACCTAGGATTTGTGTTAAGCAGGTTTCGAGTAACTGATCCCAAGAAGATACAGCTATAAAGAGTTAAATGTTATATGAGATATTGCTTGGGATATAGTTGTAGTGAATAATTATGTAAGATGTCCAATGTATGTCGTATTAAATTTGCCTGCGCAATTTTCCTAAAGTGGTTGTTTTGTTTTTGACATACATTAATAAGTGACTGGTCCATTTTAGGTGACTCTTTGCATATATCTCCTTTGGAACGCTCTTACAAAGCCAAGGTTTTGATGCACTTTCCTTCAAATGTTGACTGGAATCCTTTTGATGAAGATGCTGTTCGTATGGTAAGCCTACTAACAGACTGAGATTCTCTGAATGATAATTTCAAGAGGGATCATTTACCATTTATATCTTCCTGATTTAGCACAAAAAATTATCATCATGATAACTTCATCATGTCAAATCTTTCGAGGATGAAATTTCATGATAAAGCTACACATACATAGATTTTAAAATAACAAGCATACAAATACTGTGAAGTCTTCAATAATACCAAGCAGCCTTTACTGCAATAGTTTGTCATGGGTTCTTTGTTATGAAACAGTTCTGATTTTTGCTTCTCCTCCTGGATACAAAACAAAACAAAAGTCTATCACAGGTCAATCACACTCCCTTCCCAACCCTCCCCCCCTCCTCAGCATTTTGTTGGGCTTTGTTAAGAGTTTGTAGTACTTGTTTATAGTCATGAGTGAAGAAGGGTCTTTCCCAAGAAAGTATGAAAAACTGAGCCAAATTGTAAATGGATATATCAACAAAGTTGAACTGGTAAATTGGCCACCATAATGATTACAAAAGCTGACGTTTCGAGCGTTAGCCCTTCGTGGGAGCGAATAGCTATTCGCTCCGACGAAGGGCTAACGCTCGAAACGTCAGCTTTTGTAATCATTACAGTGGCCAATTTACCATTTCAACTTTGTTGATATATCCAAATTATTTCGTTATTCCCACCGACGCAGCCCCAAACAGTTTCTTTCGAAACTTTCAGCCTTTATTCAAATTGTAAATGAATCCATAATACCAGGGCTGCACATAGGATTTTTTGTCTGCAGGAGCAAACTCCACTCACCTTCACAGGGGTCTCTCATATACAGACAGGGTTTATAGTTGGACATTTTGTCTCTGCCCTTACACAGAAGGTTGCCTCTAAGACCTCTAAGGAAACAAACCACTCTGATGCTTTCCTGCCCCCCCCCCTACTATGTATGGCCTGTGATAGTAGCAGAGCAAAACAGGTGAGGTTTGGGTCAGGTTGTGTGTAGAACTGTGTTCATTACATGACCCAGCCCAGACTTCCTTCATATTTTCACTCCTCTGCTATCATAGCGCCATTTACTGTCTAGCTTCGTGTAACGCTTTTACTCCCAGATGTGATTAACATGTAACTCATCCCTATGATGTCCTTATATATACATTAACCAGCAAACAGGCAATGAGAATACTCAGACTTATCAGGTTGAAGTTGTTATCTTGATCTTCAGCTGTAACACCAAATTCTTGTAATGGAAAAATGTAAAGGAAATATCCATCAGCTAGAAGGGAAAATTAACAAGAAGGTTAAATTCTGACCTTACAGTGTGGCATTCTCTAATTAACCCAATGCATCCTATAGATGGTCATTTCTGTTTATTTTCCAGCTTTGTTTGCCCCAAGGACTGACGTTCAAGAAGGAATCCGAATATCATGAACCACATTTTCACTCTTTTCTTATTACTCGTGAAGATGGCTCCAGGGTTTATGGCTGTGCTCTTACCTTCTATGAAATCGTCAAAGATGCTGAGATCTGCAAAGCAATGGATACGCTGCAGGCAATGCATGATGCAGAGCTAGCCATTGCAGAATCAAGGTCTCGCTCAAAATCTCCAGTTTTTGCCACAAAGAACAGTGCTGCATCAATGGAAACAGATAATCACAGTGAATATTTAAACACCAGCTCTGACATGCTCAATATTTCTAACAGGAAATCGTTTAATGTTAAGAAAGATACTCTTCTAGTTTCAAAATCAATCTCTATCATAATGCCATTCCCATTTATCTCTGCTGGAAAGGGTTTCCTTGAGCAGATTTTGGGGGCCGTGCACAATGAGGAAAACTTACCACTTCCTTTGGAATCATACATTTATAATCTCCTGTTTGAGGTGCCACTTCCACCACCTGGAAAAACAATGAGATTCAACTGCAGTGACTCAAGCATCACCTGTCAAAGACCTGGTGCAAATGAGCTCCCTCTCTTTGATTATTCATTTAAGGAGCTTTTCACTTTGCTTGGTACTGAGAATGTTGTGAAGCTGTTTACATGTACCCTTTTGGAACAACAGATTTTATTATTATCAAATGGTAAGTAGGATAAAATTAATTACCATTTATTTTTTTAAATTATTTATTTCATAATAGCTTCCCTCTTTATACCCAAAATGAGAAAGCTCATTTTATGAATTGTTTCATAAAACCATAAAGTGAAGTATGGCTCAAGTTAATTATTACATTATTGGACTAATTACTCTTGTAAAGGTATACACCGTAGGATGGTGTACAAGATGTACAAATCTGTGAAAGGACAATTTCTGCTTTGACTGAACTTACATGTTGAGCTGCCACTGATATCTTGGCATCAATTGGGATAACACTGTTATTCTCTAAGTTCCAGTGTTTGAAAAGTGGCTGACCAATTAGCCTTGAATTAAAGGTTTTTGATAAACTTAACTGCATATTGTTGATAAATGCCATTTAATTTTAACCCTATAACTCCCAAGAGAGACCAAGACAGAATTTCTCCTTACAACATCATTACAATATCAAGCAGACAATTATTGAGAATTTAAAAAAAACTATCAACAAAGGTAAGTTTAGTTGATGCAATACCAAATTCGCCAAACTTACATGATAAGAATTATATGGTACACAGTAAGGAGAATTGCTAAGAAGATCTTGGGAGTAAAAGGGTAAAGACAACCTTACTGCTAAT